TGAACACATTGTTTGTTGCGCAAAATATAAAATGTCGAAATACCAAATATAAAATGTCGAAATACCAAGACTTTAATTTTGCGCAAAATCATAAGCAAGTCGCCAAAGCAGACAGGCAACCTGTACTTGCTGCGCGCGCTGTGAAAACCACCGTATCTGCATATTTCCCGTCGGTTTTCGTGCTGCGCAAGAGTGTCACACAATAGTGTTTTCACAGCTAAGCATCGCCCGGAAAAAGCAATATATTTGTGTCACGTAAATAAAGGCTTTTAAACAAACAATTGAATGTCAACAAATTCGTTAATGTTAAGTAAACAAAACTTGGCTAAGTCTGAACAATTAGCTCATCGAAAGGTATTCGGATTACGAACTTAATATAGCGGTTGTCGTTCAACAACATCATGCGATCAATTGTGATCATCGCATTTGAGTTACACGATCTGCATTATCAGCATTGTGCTGGCGCTGGTCAAGTGCTGAACCTGTGCTTGTCAGAAAGTAATGTTAATTATTTTCATATCTATGCGATCCTGAGGCCATAATTTACTTAGTATATTAATTGTTTAAGAAGCTGTCCTAAAAATCACAAGGACTTTAGCACTAGGTGGGCTACACTCTTTTCATTATTATTTATACTGGTCTTGTGATTCTTGTATTTCATTTGGTGAAACGTAGTTTAATTGCTTGCTCTATGAATGAGAATATTTCCGAAGTTGCCACCATCTGGTGTCCGCAATTCACGAATTCAGATTCGTGTTCAAGTCCCCAGTTCGAACTTGTACGAGCGTTGCAACAAGCGCGTTGCAACAAGCGCGCGCAATTCATCAAAATCCCTATCTTGAAATTTAATTCACATCATGTAATACTATTGAAAATCTGACGAAGGGTTTATCTCAAAACACGACATAATCCGTGAATGATTGGTCGCGGCAGGCCTACTATTGCCCAATTATGAAATGACATTCTCTTATCTCTAAACATGTCAGAATTGGGGTCAGAGGACAAAGAGATGAAAAACTAGTCTATTAATAACACGCAATCCTTGTAAACGAAAAGTACAACTTGTATAAACGATTCATTAAAGCACAGTTAAAGAAGTAAACACGTATCGGAATTTAGATTTCGGAATACTTTGGTGGGTTTCAGCACGCGCTACAAAGGAGCTCTATATATACAGGCTTTGGAAATGTTGGCACTTCAGCTCACGAGCAAGAAAATTACAACTGCATCCCTCAATTCCTCCGCGCACAATTCTATACATTTGCCATCAAATACAAGATTACTACATATAATGGAAAGATTGTAGACCACCTATCGGTAAGCCCTTGTGATTTATAGGGCATCTTCTTAAACAATTACGCAAAATAAGTAAATTATGACCTCAGGAGAAGCACGCGCGTAAATATTTTCTCCAAATTTGGCCACAACAAAACATCACATGACATTTGGCATGTAAACACCGTCTGGTTTTTAATTCCTTTTGCGGTTTAAGACTCTTGTTTTTTTTTAACGCAAGGCGGAACATAGACAACGTAATGTGTCACATCGTGATTTCTATATCCCTTTCTGCGGTTTCCACAGAACTGGGGATTGCGTTTCTATCAAGCGCACAGCAAGAGCACGCCAATTAATCGTTGAAATATTTAATGCTTTGATTCTACTTTGTAATAAAGTAAGCGATGAAAGAATCTGTTCGTAGAACTTTATTTAACCTGGCCAACTTTGTGCACCACAATATAAACTAGTAAACTAACACCGGAGACGGCGGAGAACTGTAGACAAAAAATTAACTCAAAACTAAGCCGTTAAAAAAAACCTGAACAGATTTGAAATTGCTCTCAATTTCGCAAAGCTCGTGGTATCAAGGTTTTGTTATATACAGATTCCTTGAGTACCCATAATGTAGAATAATGAAAAAAAATATTCGAACTCAAATTTTGTAAACCCCCCAGGGAGGCTTTCTTTTGCAACAAAGTAAAAATGGCTTGCGCACGAAATTTAAAAGCTTTAATCGTATTTTGAGTTAAATGGATGGAAAATTTGTTGGGTTTTTAATTACTGTAAAAAATTTCAGACAATTTGCTTTAGTTCTCTGCTTTAGTTTAAGCGCTTTGACTATTCATTTTTTCCTAAAAAATCAACCTTTTGCATGCTTAATTAATGCCTTTACCTAATTTGCATATTGCTGCAATATATAATTTCCAATTAGGAAAAATGTAAGTTTGCGTGAATAGTTAAAGGGCTTAAACTGAAGCAAATTGTCTGAAATTTCGTGCAGCAATTAAACACCCAACACATTTTTTACCCATTAACTCAAAATACGATTAAAGCTTTTAAATCTTGTGCGCAAGCCATTTTTAGTTTGTTGGAAAAGATACACCCCCTGGTTTACAAAATTTGAGTTTGAGAAATTTTTTTCATTATTCTATATTATAAGTACACAAAGAAGTTATATATATCAAAAGCTGGATACTAATAGCTGTTTTGCGAAATTGAGAGCAATTCCAAATGTGTTGGTGTTGTGTACTCAGGTGAATATGATGTTTGTGATGTTACTCTGAGTGTATATCCACACCGAACAAGCTTGAAAAATATGCCTGGCCATGGTGAGCAGGGGTTGAAATTTAAATTTTTTTGTACTATACAGCCGGAATAGTAGATTTTTATATTTACTATTCATTCCGTCTGAAAATCCACTATTCCTTAATGTACTGTTTCTGAGAGCCTGTTGATGATGCAGGGTCCGCACTAAATAATGTTCTGATTTTCATGAAATCATCCTTGGGACTCCTAAAGTGAACTTAATAATTGTAAACAAACATGTACAGTGCATTGCTTGATCTATGTACAGTGAGGAACAAATTATTAATAAAAAACAAAGTTCAAACACTGAAATGAACTTGCAAGCTTTATTGGTGCAAAGAAATTAGAATATGCAAGTATTGCAAGCGAACAAGAACTTAGCTATGAAGTCGAACAGTGGCTCAAAGTCCGGTATAAAATGATATATTATACAAGAGGAAAACCCTTGCTTGCTTGTCGATAATTGGTATCGTAATTTTTTCTACTATACAAATGGAATACTGTGATCATGAAGTTTACTATTCCGTCAGGCATTTTAGTATATTTGGAATAGCAGGAATTTCGACCCCTGCTGGCCAGGTTGAGAATTGAACCTATGACCTTTGGAGTAATTTGAACTGTTAAATGTATGAACTTAACACTGGTTTGCAAACACTATCAAAGTTTCTGTGATCACAGTAGGAATTTTGCATCGGTAAATTTTAAGTTTTGAAGGATTTGTAAGAAATGATTGAGGGAACTGATTCATTGGTGTTTACAGTAACACTGAGTCAGTTAATTCTCTCAAACATTTCTTACAAATCCTTCAAAACTTGAATTTACCAATGCAAAATTCCTACTGTGATCACTGTGATCACAGAAACTTTGATAGTGCAAACCAGGTTTTAAAGACTGTTTTTCAAAGGGGGATGTATAGCAATGAACTTGTGAACAAACAGATAAAGATGGTGGGATCAGGGGATCAATGAAATGTGGGTAGTTGAGCATGAATGACATGTCTGTTAGGGGAAGATAAATGAAATGTGGGGGTGGAGCATTTGGTTTAGGAGGTGGGAGACATATGGGGGTGGAGGGGATTAAACATGTGGTTTACAAGGGAGTTGAGAATATCTGCATAGGGGGCATACGTGGGCAGTTGAGCATGAATGGCATATATGGAGGAAACGTAATGAACTGACCAAGGGGGGTGGGGGTTGGGGTGTGTGATTATAACATGTGGTTAAGGCAGGCGAGAGAATATGACATATGTTCCACAATAGTGACTTTGCAAGGATTTGAAAATTTTTTAATCATCTTTAGAAACAAACCACAGCATCTTAGTGCAAAAGAAACCCCACATTTCAGAGCATTTCTATCAAGTTAATATTCTTTGAGACCAAGTTAACCCATTAAGCATCCAGCACTCTCCCCTTGACATGTAAAATGGTCTGGCATTAGACAGAGTAAAATAATAAAGTAAAGTAGGGTGCATTTAGGGTTGCAATGCAACTTAATGGGTTAAGTTAACCCTCAATGTTTTGGGTGTTGGTGACGTCATAATTCCAGTCCTCTTTGCAAAACTGTGTAAGAGTCTGAATTGATTTCATCCAGACATTCAGTTAGTCCCCAGATATTCAGTTAGTCCCCATAATTTGTATGCAAGAGTGCCAAGACACGTATTTAAAGTATTTCTCAAGTATTTAAAATACTACAATTAAAGCCTTGCGCTTCAAGATTCAGATGTGATGGCCAAAATGAAAAAGTTTAGTTATGGATTAACGAGGTTTCCTCATTGAAACCTCAAGAAACTCTTCAAAATGAAAGCTTTTCTAGTCCTGATAACGGATAAGACTATTGATTAAGGAAGGCACGTTTGTAATATAAATTTTATCCGCCATGTTTTCTTAATTCCAGGTGAGTTTTATAGTGTTTGTTCATGTGGAAAGTTAATTTTAAAGCTGCATTTACTAATAACCAAACACAATAAACACAAAACAGAATACATGGTTCATAAAATACTTCAAGTATAAAGCATTACTTACATTTAAAAGCTTCTTACCCATCAAAAAGTTGAAAAGTTTCAAATGTACAACACTAGTACACAACTTCGTCTCGTTACTGGATCCAGTCACAATGAACAGATCAGTGCCTCGCAGGAAATGCTAATTTTGCATGATCGTCCCTAGACTTTTCCACCATTTTCCCGACACATATCCCCAGGCTTTAATAGCCCAAAATCCAAGCAATCTCCCACCAGCAATGTTTGAGGTTTACACGGTATTACATGGTCAAAAAGATGAGGTTTTTTTACATCAAACAACCGTCAAAATTAACCTCCAGAAACGGCCAAAAATAGATTTTTACTTTTTGGCATTTCAGCCATTTTTTTCGTATTAATATTCAATAACAATAACTAACAACGATTGATGTACAATGACAACATGTAATACTATACAATAATTTTATAATATACAGTGAAAACAAAATATAGCATTCAACTAAAATTCATCTTTATTAACAATTCCGTGGCATGCTATATATGGGAGAGAAAATGAGTTCACGATGTTCCCATAATCAAGGGACCCTCTGCAGTAAATGGGTGAACCATAGAGATACCAGGTACACTGCCTGTCAAATTGATGTGACGGTCACAGGTCCAGTGAAGTCCAGCCTTAATACAAGCTGACTTCAAATACCTTGAGGTATAAAACACCCTGTTACGTCTTTAAATCATAACAAAATGCTTTATGTATATCCAGATCGTTGCGCGTCGTGTACATCTTATCACACCCACCACAGATAAACGTATTCACAGGTTCGTAATTTGTCGTACTAACATCGTCGCGTGCCGTAATATCGGCGTCCAGACCCCAAGAATCAGTTCGCATTAAGCTAGCCGCATTCTTACCACTGTTTGCAAGTTTCGCGCTCAAAGCTCTGGCCTGCCGTTTCTCAAACACTTTTTCACGACTGTTTTGAAAGCTATTCTGATGTTCCAATTTTGAACCCGAAGGCGGACGTGGTCGGTAGTTCTCGGACGTTTGTCGGAATTCGTCAGTTGTTCCAGAGGTGCGGTGTCCGCGACTTTCAGTATCGGACTGGGTTCTAGGATTAATTGATATTACAGGCATTGAGATATGATAGATGGCTACCACTAAGCGCTAAATGTTCGACTACATTCAATATTTGTTAAACAACATACCTGGTAAGCGCGGAACGGCCAGAGCTATTTGAGTTTTTCTTTCTACTTTTCGCAGAATCACTCCGCGAGTTCCAGAGTAAAACCGGCTCTTCCATCTTTGAAAGAGAAATACATTGATGAAAATATCAAGCTAACTTTATTTATACTGGATAGCTCTATCAGTTCTAAACTGTTCTTCCTAGAGATCCAGTAAGGATCATCTCTTATTGATCCAGTGTTACTACAGGAGGAAACCTAAACGAAACTAACTTTATTTATACTGGATAGCTCTATCAGTTCTAAACTGTTCTTCCTAGAGATCCAGTAAGGATCATCTCTTATTGATCCAGTGTTACTACAGGAGGAAACCAAAACTAAACTAACTTTATTTATATTGGATAGCTCTATCAGTTTCTGCGCTGTTGCCCCTGGAGTTTCAGCATGGAAACATATATGGAAACATGAGGTGAAATTATCAGACAACTGCATATTCCAGGAATCAAACCTGTCTGAGAGGTTTCGAATCCTCCTGGATGTCACTCAGTTTCTCAATAGAATGTCTCAACTTCTTGTTCTGAGCCTCCAACATGGCGATACGAATGTTATTCGATGTTATTTGTTTTTCCATCTCACGAGATATTGCCAAAGGATTGTCCAGGGCTGCCGTAAACAAAACAAAGAATAGATTAATACTGGATAGTTCTATCAGTTCCAAACCGTTCCGTTCAGCCGGGTCATCCATTTTTATGCAGTGTTACTACATGAGAAAACAGGAGTAATGGGGAAGGTCTTCGGTAGAGTCAAACTGGAAGCACTCTTCTCACATGTGACTGAGGTGAAACCCCATGGACTCATATGAAGAGGCTTTGCATGGTGGAATGTAATCTTAAAACTCTAGAAGGTCGTAGAGAAGATATGTGTATTAAGCTCATTAATTCATTACTTCAGCCTGGTTATAAATATTATTTGTTGCCACCCAAAGTTTGTGAAATTAGGAATAGAGAAACAAGATTAAATGGAGAAACGTTTTATAATTTTAACTGTCGGACACAACGTTTTAAAAACAGTGCAACTGCCTATGGAATCGAACAATATAATAAAGTTTAATTATTAGCTCTTGGGTTGAAATATGAGTATATTCTTGTAAATAGAGTATAGGATTTATATTCTTCATTTTTAATTGTAATTCGCATTATAATTTAGTAATATTGAATTTCTACTTGTGAAATTTTACAAAATAGTAATATAATAATATCGCGAGAATCCAGAAGGGGGAGGGGTTGCTGGCGAGTGGATAAGGATGCTACCTGCTGTACACCTCAGTATATCACTCACCCTCGCCACCCAAACTGTTTTTATCATCAGGATATTGCACAATCATTTGCATCTTTTCTTCACTGACTTGAAGGTCGTGTTGCAATCGTTGAACGTCCGTTTGTAATCTTTGAATCGCTTCAGATAACTTACTCCGGTCTGCGTTGATACTGTCCACCTGACCCTAGACATTGCCATGGAGGAAATGAAGTGAGTGCACTGAGTGTGTTATATACGATAGAAATGAGACGAGAATATTGGGGTAATTGATCCATTCAGTGGCGCAACTGTTGGGTGTGTGTGACAACCCCCGCCCCCCTCCCAAGTTTAAAAATGGTAATGATACTCGGGCAAATTTTTCCTAGTGTTGGGCTGTATGTCGGGCGAAGCAGTTGAAGTCATCTGAGGTAAAGATAGAAAAGTTCACAAATTTCATGGCCGATTGATTGGTGACCACGCCCTTTTGTCGGGCAAGAAGAACTCACACCTCTCTAATAAGCCTGGTTCATATATATGCCTGCGACGTACCGGCAACGATGCCGGTGGTAGCTTTAAAACGTAAATTATGTGAACATTTGTTCGCCGATTGCCTCCAGTGCCACAGTTTCGTCGGCGGTAGGCCGGGAACGTTGACTTGAGTTCAACTTTGCCGGTATTTCGGCGCCAAGTAGAGGCATAATGCTACAGTCGCAGACATACCGCAGGCACAGCCTAGACCTTCTATTTTTATTATTTTTTTTAATATACAGCGCTTTTTCACATGAAAAGACTGGGACTAGGTGATTTGGGGGCGGGGCGGAGGATGACGCAAGTGAAAAAATAAAAGGCCTAGTGGATTTCCCAACAACAAGGCCAAAACTGCCCTAAAACTGCCCTGGTTGCGAAATGCCCAATTAGTGCGTTCTCAAACAGAATTATTTGCAACTTGTCAGCGAATTTAAACCGATACAGGTAAAATAAACTCATTTATAGTATAAACGTACTATTTTTATTTGAATACACGCCTAGAAAATCGGGGTTTTTATCATAAAATTTGAAGCTACACTATTATTATGTTGCGAAAGGTCAAAATGAGTCAAAATATTGCTACAAAATAGAGCTTAGTTTAGTCATAAAATGTTTTTATAGTTAATGTAATAACTACTGGACAGTATAAATTGCTTTAGTTGTTGGTTTCTGATCAATTTCGGATCACAAAGTTACGGGGCTAATTTGAGAACTTGTGAAATCTACTAGGCCTTTACGAGGCAAATGACCATTGCGATAATCACCAGCCGAGTTTAGGCCTAGGTCTAGGCTGCCGCAGGCATATGCGAACCAGGCTTTACGTACAGTCAAGTTGCGCCCCCCGGATCCATTGTTACTGACTGTAGGAGGAAACCAGAGGATATGGAGAGTGGAAACCTGCGGGGTTTGGTAGAGTCAAATTGGAAGCATTCTTCTCACATGTGACTGAGGTGAAATTATAATCAGACAACTGTATATTACAGAAGTCAAACGCTACCTGTTTTTCAGCAAGTTCTTTGCTAAGACTCTCACTTTGTATCTTCGTTTCATCCAAGATATCCCTCAATTCATCTCTCTCACCCTCAATATCCATCACCTTCTCTCGGAGTTCCTCACATTCTTGGTCCAGCTCATCAATACGCTGAAGTAACGAGTCGTGTTTACTTTGAAGAACCTTGGGAATAAACAACAATGGCCAAATGACTGAAGTTCTTAGTCCAGATATATATAGACACATAGGTGTACGGGGCTGAAAGTTTGCCCAGATTTTTATGGAGGATTGTAATGAAATAACCTGAATTTAACATATACTCTGGTATATTTGCCGAATTTCCATGGTTTTCTAAAGTTTTTTGGGCAGTTGCCCACCCCCCTGCCGGGGGTCTCGTACGCCTATGTACAAAGAGAGCTCACGGTATCAAGCTAATACCGCCGTTTTCATCGACGAGTTCATCGACGGGTGAACAGGCGCAGATAAAAACATTGTCTATGCTCAAACATTGAACGTGAAACTTTGGAACAAATTTTTAATTAGTTCAGCAATCAGCGTGAACAAACACGAACGTTCACGTGATCACAGACAATGTTTTTATCCGCGAGTGTTCATCAGGGACAGTATCCTAATTCCAGCTCACTTGATCATGTTGGGAAAGTGTTCTATTCTTCGCTTCCATCTTGCCGAGTTCCAATGTTGTTTTCTCCAGTTTCCTCTGCATGTCTTTCAAGACCTGTTTCGTCTCGCTCAGATCTTCATTCATCTTCGCCACTTTTGACGTTTCTGTTCGTTCTTTATCAAGATCTGACTTCAACTGCGAACATTGCGACTCTAAAGTGCGTCAGAAAAGAGAGCTTGTTGGATAGTTTGTCTTGACGGATCAAGTCCGTCTTTGACGGATGCTCCATCTTTGTGCATAAATTATGTAGAAATACGACATCAACGAATTCAAAAACCTCCTTCATCATCATTACAGAAATAAGCTAGCTTTGTATTGCCCACCGTAATAATTACTCTTGTGTGGTCACAAAGTATTTTATATTTTGTAGTATATAAAGGGGGAGAATTGTCAATAGGCAATTCCAGCTTTTACTTTATGCCTGCTGGGGATGATGGGAAGTAAGGTATCATAGTGCTGATTATGCTGAAAATTTTCAATAAAAACTACCGAAACAACCAAAATATTTCAATATTTACAAGTACAAGCTACCACTCCGTGTTTACACGTCCACCATTTCTATTTTTTCAGCATAATCAGCAATGTGATACCTTACTTCCCATCGTCCCCTGCACGCATAAACTAAAAGCTGGAATTGCCTATTGGGACGTTAGTCCTGTTTTGCTCTTCTGTCACTCAGTTTTTATTTGCACTGATGCTTTCTATTTTTATTTGTGACAAATCTCATTAACAAAACTAAACTAAACTGGAATCCACTGAATTTCGGACAGAAGTTACGATTCTAATTGGACTCATATGCTATTTCTAACTAGTTCGTCTTGACGGAAAATCATGAAAATATCAGACATGATTTGTTTTCAGAACCATTGTGAGTACAGATCACGCTGATCTCGATAGTTCGTCTGACAACGGATTGTCCATCTATAGTAGAAATAAGACCAATAAAAAATGTCCTCTTCAAAGCCTTAATTAATACAATTCCAAGAAATCTTACCAAGTTTACTTTTGCTTGCTACAGAATCTTTAAGCTCCAGCTCACTTCTTTCCATCCGAATTTCCAAGAATTCCTTTCCTTTCTTCAAGTCCCATATCTCTGCATTCGAGTCTTCCTGTAAACGTTTCATCTCTTGAGTAACAGCCGACAATTTCTCGGACAACTCCTTGGAAATCCTTTGTGATTCTTGGCGTTCTGTCTCCACAGTTTCCTCGAGGCTTTTCACCCGTTCCTCGAGTGCTTTCCGCCTCTCCCGGGATTTATTCAACTTCTCCTGAAGCGGGTTGATTTGTGCGTAGAGATTATCTAAATGCTCGTTAATTCTCGAGAGATCTCGGTTCTGCTCGGCCGCCCATCGGGAAACATCGGCAGCGGCGAGTAGTGACTGTTTCAGTAAGCGTTTTTGCTTTGCCAAGCTGGAAGGCAGTCCTTGACTCTCACAAACTTTCATAACCATTTGCCCAACGGCAATAAGGTTTTCCTGGGTGCGGCTACAAGCTTCACAAGGCACAAATGCAGTGTCATAGGTTTGCGTGGGCATGTCTTTGCATGTTTTAGTCAAAGCTACCTCCTCGACTGCCAAAGTGAGGTCCTCAGCTTGACTAGGACTTTCTAAGTTCATGTCCATCGTATGAGATAGGATGAATTTTGCAGACGTTTTGGTCTTTGATTGGTTCTTTATTTCACCTTTGACCGGGCTGCTTTGGGACGGGGTCTTTTTGACTAGCTCTTGAAGCATATTGATTTCTTGTCTCATGTCAGAAACAGTATTTTCTAAACTTCTCAATTTCTTATCTTTACTGCTGGACTGCAAGAAAAGGTAGCAAAAGGTAAAGATGTAAAACGATTTATCAATCTCTGCATGAAGTGACTCTGGCATAGCCACCGGCCTGACCGGGGGCAGGGACGGGGGATCCAGACCCCCACTTTTCTTCAGGATCAATTTTGTAATTTTTTTCAAAACTGAGGAGAAACTCGGAGGGAAAGAAAAGTTTGAAAAAGAAAAGTTCCGCAGAAAGAAAAATTTGTAAAATGTGATTGGCAAATATTTCCTGTCACAAATTTCTCGTCAGAAAAAAATCTTGAAGTTGAAAATTTTCAACTTTTAACAAATATATTTTCGAAAATTTTCTGTTCGTGCAAAATTTTCTCGAGTGGAAATGGGCCTTTAATGTTTTCATCTATAATATGGTATAAACATACTAAATCCATAAATGCATTTTCCGAGGGACAATGCCCCCGGACAACTGGACAAGGGGCGCATGGCTACACCCCTGAGTGACTCGCAGGAATCTCTGCATGAACAAGATAGAAGTGCTTGCAGTCAGCTGCATTGTGGCAGCATTGAAAACATGGAAATAAAGAAATGGAAAACATGGAAATAAAGAAATGGAAAACATGGAAATAAAGAAATGGAAAACATGGAAATAAAGAAATGGAAAACAAAAAGATGCAATTCAACTTACTGGGCTTCATACTGTAAGCTCATTTTGTCAAGACTGGTTGTTAAAATAAATTCCAGCAGTTAATAGAATAGAATATGAACAGATAATTTTATATCTCTACAATTAACATATACCTCAGTTAATTCACGTTGAACAATGTGATAAAGATGCGCCATCTTGTTCCAAAATTTCTTCACAACCAAACCAACGGACATTGCCGAGCCAACTGACTTGGCCGTACCTGGACGATTACTTTCTGTTGTACTCAAGAGATGGTTACAGAATGATGATAACGCTTGCATGAGGAGTACCAACCTATGTTGTAGAACTTTGGTTGGAAAGTTTGTCAAAACAATTAGTAGGTTTCACCAAATAAGCACTACCGTGCAGCAGATGGTGGTCAACCGACAGGACAAGAGTGCCGGTGTTTTCCCCATGGCAAGTAAAATTATCTGGCATTAGGCAGAGTAAAATAATGATACAAAGATCCACATCCTCCCCCCTGCAGAGGAAATTTCTGCTGGAGTGGGAACAATCTACCTTCCGGTAATAGTAAAAAGGGAGAGGGAGGTCAATTTCCCCAGTGGGGGACGTGTGTGGATGTTTTCTAAAATGGCCCATTTTTGTGCAAGGAAACGTAACCAGAAGCTTTGAGAATGGCTACAAAAACATACTGATTTTTAGCACTAAACAAACTTTATTATCTGTCCCCTACCCATCTGTGATATAAGGCCAATGAAAATTGATATCATGTTTCTCATCCCCGCCCACATGGGATTTATCTGCCTCACGAAAATTTTTCATTATTCATTATTTTTGAAAAATAGGCTTGACAAAACACCAAATTGATCTCCAGATCAAAGTCTTATTGCTGCATTCCGCAAGCGCAACTCAAATTGTATCTTTCTAAAGATATTACTCGCCAGAATGCCTCTATTTTTCATGTCAGCCCTGGGAACGAGGATGATCTTGACACGTGATCATTCTCTTCCGGTTTGCTTCCGATTTCCTGTGTTGCAAAATAATCTGTTCGCGTGGTTTTACTGCTTTTTTGAAAAGATAAATCATGCATATTCATGTTTTATAATGATAATTTATGTGTAGAAATTATATACTGTAGTGTAGGACGTATTAAATTAAAATGAATTATACACCGATTTACTTCAGATTTTTATGGCGTTTTTTTACTGGGTCAAGGAAGGAAATTATTGACAATCAGAATTCAAATACAAAAAGTAATGAAAAATGAAAAAATCTTGTGGACAAGAAACATGATATCAATTTTCATTGGCCTAAGTGCCTAACAAGAATGTTACAAGGTTGATGACACAAGGTTGAAACAATATTGTTATATCATTGATTGTAATATCAACAAGATTGTTACAACTGTTAACAAGTTGTTCCATACTTGTTGTCAAGCAGTTTTAACACAAGCAGTTTTAACACAACTTGTTGACAGCTTGTTCAGGCAGCTAATTAACTTGCTACAAGATGTGAAACTTTTGTGTGTGTAATCATATGGTACTTTACACCCTCATTATTCCCCTCTTTACTGGATAACCAGCCTTGCGTCAATAATAACGTTTCAATACCTATCAATAAGCAACTCAAACAGAATAATATGCGACAACTTGGAATGATCATCATCTTTTGAATAACAATATCTCGTTAAAAGTTTATTTATGTCCAAATCACAAGATGCTTTATCAGGATATTTCCAAGACGGGAACCTCACTGGACCGACACGACCAAAAATATGTGTAATCGTTTCATGAACATCGCCAATATCTATAGCCAAACTTTCCAGACAATTTTGACTGCCAAGCAAATGTGCCATAATTTGTTGTTTAATATTTCTTGCTAATTTTACACTTTTCTGCTCGTAATTTCGTTTGGAAATAAAGAATAGTACATAAACATAGCACTTTTCGACTATATTACTGTGTTTAAAGTTATTTTAACAAAGTTTTCATTCATTTTCTTCAACAATTCTATTTTTTCCTGTCATTTCAAAACGCCATATTTGTTTACCATGACGACCACTGATCTGCATGTCTGTAACTGGATAGTTGTTGACGACTCTGGTCTGGTTGACGACCGTAGTAATATCGGAAGAGATTATTTCGCTGGCCTCAGAGTGACAAAACATAACAAAGCAACGGTTTTACTAACACTAACCCTAACCCAAACACCAATTCCAACCCTAACCCCAATCCTTACTAGGACACTAATCTAACCCTACTCCAAATTTGTTTCTAAGGCCATATAAAATAAATTCCTTGATTCTCATCGCTAAATTTTAAAAACTCCCAGGAGGCGGGAGGTTTATATTTTATATTTTATGTAAAAATATAAAAAAAAGTTAAAAATTTAAAAAATTGGAGAGGGAGGTCTTTTTATATTTGCCCTTAAATATATTATAGAAGAACGCTATATAAGTGGATAATTGCACATGCGCTATTGAACATGCATAAGGGTCCACACAAATCGTTGTAATAAGGCTATAAGCCCATTTTTTCCTCCAGTATTCCAAGCATCCCTTAACATGTTGCAATATTAACGGTAAAACAATTTTATATCGCAAAAATTCCAATATAAAATATAAAAATAACTAAATTTCTGAAGATGCTCGGTCGGGCGGTAAATTTATATTTTATAACAAAATACAAAAATATATCAACGCGGAAACCAAAATATCGTCGGGCGGTGATGAGAATCAAGGAATTTATTTTATATGGCCTAAACCAATCTTGAAGAAAAAAGTTTTGATGAAATGGTGGTAGTGACGACGCCGATGCTAGTGCTGATGGTGATGATGTCATGATGATGTCATGACGATGTCATGACGATGTATGATGATGTCATGATGATGTCATGATGACTGTGATGGCAGTGATGATGCTAATGATGATGGTAGTTGATGGTGGTAGTGGTGATGGTAGACTGGTACTGACGATGGTGGTGATTTGTTTGACAGAAAAATTTCTTAATGCATTATCTTATTCCATTTTATTTAATTTATTTTATTTTACTTACTACAAAATTAATGTTCTCGATCATATACACACGATGTATCCGTTTGGTCATAATAGCGGGCTTAAGCAAGCTACGTTTTTGACAACACGAACGTTGACCGGAAGCAAATTTGACGTTATCAACCAATCAACATTCTTGACCCAGTCTTTTAATGTTACTCATGCCGTTCGTGTTGTCAAAAACGTCGCTTGCTTAAGCTCGCTATTCATTCTGTCTGGACGCTAGACGATTTTACTCGTCAGCAGGCCCTCAGTCTTGGTAGCTTGGCTTATCCGCCAAATTTACATGCAGTATAAGAAGATTTGAAATGAGATAAAAAGTAAAAGCAAAATGTAAATTTAGAGAGACCACGGCCTATCGAAGGGGAGATGGCTGTGAAACTCATTAGAATAACAATATAACTCATTATCTGTGTTAGTCAACGTTTATTCATAAATATGGTCTTTCACCGTCACGTGTGTATTGTATTTCTGCCAAATCCACCAATAGCAATTTCCAGTTTCCCTGCTGTTCGAGTCACGGATAGGCGACTTTCCTAAAACATTGCTATTGGTTAGTTGGGTAAAAATACAAACACACGTGACGGTGACGGACCAGATTTACGAATAAACGTTGACCAACATAGATAATGAGTTATATTGTTATTCTAATAAGTTTCACAGCCATCTCCCCTTCGATAGGCTATGGAGAGGCAGATCGGAAAATGTTAGTGTTAGCGGTCAGCCTCACTGGTCAGCCTCCTCCGCAGGCATCTCACCCGGGGAACACACCTATTCGCAGGTTAAAACCATAACGATGCCTGCGGAGGGGGCTAGGATCGGCTGAAGCTGCATTTCCATACTAGCTAAAGCAGTAGCGAGGATGAATCTATTCGATTCTGTAAACACACGCAGCAAACATTCTCTCCATCACGTCTACTTCATTATTTCTATGCCTGATTGTCTTCTTTCAATTTAATACTTTCTAATGTTACGTTAGCGTCCTGAATGAAGAAAGAATATTATTTAGTTGTAAAAAGTATTTTGGACTTCAGTCATCAGCTAAAATTAAAATTTCAAGCTAGTGTATCATGAAGATATTGTGTAAGATGTCAGTTCCAAATTACTGTTTCATCGTTTGTCAGCTATCAGTTAGCTGAGTTAAAATATTTTGTAAGATGTCAGTCATTCAAAAATGCGGGTGAATATCATTCAAACATACCGAGTCATTGTCATCTCTCCCATAATACATTTGTGCAATTTCTTCATACGTTTTATTTTTTGTTTCTTTCACATATTTAAATGTTATTACTGCACCAATCACAACCACGACCATGAATGGAATGAACGTGTAACCTTTAAGTCCAACCTGAAAAGATGATGAGAAACTGAGTTAAACTAAGCTAAACTAACTTTATTTATTTTGAATAGCTCTTCTAAACTGTTCTTCCTAGGACCTCCTAGAGATCCAGTAAGGGTCATCTCTTATTGATCCACTGTTACTACAGGAGGAAGCCTAAACTTAACTAACTTTATTTATACTGGATATGTCCATTAGTTCTAAACTGTTCTTCCTGAAGGTCCAGTAAGGGTTATTACTACAGGAGGAAACCTAAACTAAACTAACTTTATTTATTTTGGATAGCTCTATCAGTTCTAAATTGTTCTTCCTAGACTGGAGCTCTAGGTCCTAGAGGTCCAGTAAGGGTCATCTCTTATTGATCCAGTGTTCCTACAGGAGGAAACCTAAACTTAACTAACTTTATTTACACTGGATACCTCCATTAGTTCTAAAATGTTCTTCCTGGAAGTCCAGTAAGGGTCACTACTAAAGGAGAAAACCTAAACTAATCTAACTTTATTTATATTGGATAGCTCTATCAGTTTTAAACTGTTCTCCTTAGAGATCCAGTAAAGGTAATCTTTTATTGATTCAGTGTTAATACTACAGGACGAAAGTGGATTACTGGAAGAAAACCTCTTGTTTGGTAGAGTCTAACTGGAAGCACTCGTCTCACATGTGACTGAGATGAAATTATAATCAAACAAGTGCAGGAATCAAAACTTGCAGGTCACAGAGACGAAAGACACATGCACTGACCATTGTGTCATTTTCCATGCAGAGTTTCTCTTTAGGACACTTACTAATATGAAAGGAAACGTTAACCCAACAACAAAATTAGCAAGCCAATTTAACATGCCAGAGAAACTCATTGCCGGTGGCCTTGGGCCTTGCTTGAACAGCTCGCCACCGAGGAATAAGGGAATGGGACCTAGAAAAGAAATCAAAATATTTTTATAGTAGGTGATAGCAAATGCATAAAAGAGCAAGGTCTACAGTAGTTTGATTTGCCTTAAAGTGTCAACATTTCTGAGTTGACTGCCATCTTGTATAACGCTTACTGAAACCGCCTTCTCCTCCTCTCTCACCCCAGAGAGGAGTTTGAAAATTCCAAATTAAACATTTTGCAAGTCGAGATGTGCGGCAGCATCATAGTTCTCTGCATCACACGTTCTCTGAAATTTACATTTTACTTGACTTATGCAGGAAATTTTAATTGTTGAATTTTGCTGAATTGTTTCCTACCAAAGTTTCGCCATGTTTCCAAGAGTGGGCAAACACTAGGAAACATTAGTGAGAAACATAGGGAAACATCAAATGTTTCTGAATTTGGTAGGAAACATTTTTGCTTCTCGGGAAGCAAATTTTGTTTCCGCAACAATGTTTCCACGGGTGGGCAAACATGGAAACATTTGAGGAAACATCGAGAATCACAAATGTTTCCGCAACAATGTTTCCTAGTTTGCCCAGGGCTTCAGGCTAACAAATAGATGACATTATTCTCACCTAGGCCGATAGCAAATGATACAACGAAAGTCAATGTGCATACAAAACTGAGATAGGCAATTCCAGGAGCAACGTCCTGAAATGAAATTGAGAGATGTTGTTTAATTTTCTCACTCCTATAAGTGTTAACATTTCTGACGTTGACCAGCATCTGCTGCCCTGTATCGCTTGTTGAAACCAATCATTATTACCTGTACATTCAGTCCAATCGTTATAATAGCAGCAGATATTCCCATGCCGATCATACCGTACAACAACAATGGACGTCTTCCTGCTTTTTCCATCAGAAACACCTGAAACAGATACGGCCCGTCATGTTTAGATGCAAAGATGTCACAGGCTTGCGTCAATGATCAATGTCTACACACGTAAAAACGCACAAGTTTGTTACAAGTTTGTTCACAAGCTGTTAACAAGATGTATTCGCACTGCTTGTCACAAGTTGTCAACAGGTTTGGAACAACTTGTTGACAACTTGTAACAACCTTGTCGAAATTATCAGACTTGTTGCAAGGTTGTTTTGACAAGTCCGTTACATGCTTGACATAACAAGATTGTTACAACCTTGTGTTGACAACCTTGTAACATCCTTGTTATATCACGGCTGTAACAAACTTGTTAGCACAATCTTGTAACAAGGCTGATAATGCCATCAAGCTTGTTACAAGTTGTTAACAGCTTGTTTCAAACTTGTTACAACAAACTGGGAACAAGCAGTGCGAACACAACTTGTTGACAACTTGTGAACAGATTTGTAACAACTTGTTTCCGACTTGTTACAACTTGTGCGTTTTTACTTGTGTAGCACATATCTTACCGCAACTATAGTCATAGCGACATTGATGGCTCCAGTGCCTAGGGTCGCATAACGAACATAGCCATCTGGGATGCCAGCTTGTGTGAAGATCCCAGTTGAGTAGTAAAACACCTGGAAATGAAGAAATCCAAATTAATCAAAACTAAACTAACTTTCTTTATGCTGGATAACTCCATCAGATCATTTGAGGTCCACAGTCCACTAGTAAGGGCTATCTCCTATCTATCCAGTGTTACTATAACAGGAAACCAGATTACCCGGAAAAAACCTGTGGTGTTTGGTAGAGTCAAGCTGGAAGCACTCTTCTTACATGTGACTGAGGTGAAATTATAATGCAAAAATGTCAAAAAGATCGCTGATCACAAAGGTGAAAGTCACATGTACTAACCATCAAAAGGACTCGTTGTCGTGTAAAGTGTTAAGTTTTATATAGTTAACTTCAAAAGAGTAGTTCAAAACTAGTTATTAAGGCCCCAGTTACACGATACCGGATTCGCATCGGAGCAACATCAAATTTTACTGCTTCGAGGTGAATTTGGCACTTAAAATTAAGATTATAATATAACATAATTAAACAAAAACTTCATATATGAAAAGTTGTAATAGCAGACAAGGCTGGAAAACACCTTAAATTGATGTCGCTCCGATACGAATCCGGTATCGTGTAACTGGGGCCTAGGAGTTTTATGCAACCGGCCATTGGCATTGGACGAACTTACGACATTAATTCCTGACAGTTGTTGGCCCGCTTGAAGTCCGCACAGAAGTAACAATGGAAAACGAAGTTTCTTCGCCTTCAACAATTGTTTCATCGTCCAGGGGGGTTCATCTTCCAGTTGCCTCTGTTCTTCACGCATTTCTTGAATATCGTCTTTGACGTCATGATCTTCGCCTCGGAACGACTTCAATGCTGTGTTGGAAAATGAAAAAGCGTTTTAGTTCAATAGACCGATTTACACTACACAACTTTTGCCAAAAACTGTTCCATGCAACCTGCTTACAACTTGAGGTGTACTGTGCGAATCAAGCAAACCTTTTTTAGCTCTTTCTTCGTCTTTCCTTTTAATAAGAAGGTAACGGGGACTTTCAGGAATCAAAGGAAGAAAGAAGGACACGATGAAACCTGGAACTGCTGAGCAGATAAGAAGAACTGGCCACAAGTCATCTCCACCTGAAGACAAGAATATTAGTTTTTTAAATAACTGACTCTATTTCACTTCTAAACGTACTGTTTTTCCTGGGGGTCCAGTAAGGATCATCCCTTATTGATCCAATGTTACTGCAGGAAGAAACCTAAACTAAACTAACTTTATTTATACTTGATAGTTCTATCAGTTCCAAACTGTTCTTCCTAGAGATCCAGTACGGATCATCTCTTATTGATCCAGTGTTACTACAGGGCGAAACCTAAACTAACTTTATTTATACTGGATAGCTCTATCAGTTCTAAACTGTTCTTCCTAGAGGTCCAGTAAGAGTCATCGCTTATTGATCGAGTGTTACTACGGAAGGAAACCTAAACTCAACTTTTATTGATATACTGAATAGTACGTTATATTAGTTCTAAACTGTTCTCCCTAGAGGTTCAGTAAGAGTCATCCCTTATTGACCCAGCATCTGTATTGCTGGAAACAGATTACGTACGCGGAAGTATGAGGATATACTGAGTTTTACTCACCTAGTAGTTCTTCAAGTCCAAGAATTTGTGAAATTAGGATTCCGATAGTTAAGCCAAGTTGATGTAAAACGCCCAGTGAACCACGAATATGTTTGGGAGAACTTTCCGTTAAATACATTGGAACAATTCCACTGCCCATGCCTGGGAATGTAAATTGAAAAATTACGGAAATGAACGAATTACATGTATATAAATAGTAAAGGAATGGACTATTGCTTTTCGTTGGCGGAAAATGGTAATGCAAGAAGCACGAGATAGGTTTCCAAAACTTAAGCTTAATGAAAAGTTCAAAAGATAGGAGGTGGTAGACATTATGAAGAAAAGGTAAGGAAGCAAGGCTGAGATGGTATGGACATGTAATAAAAAGAGATGAAGGAGAGTTGGTCAGAGACATTATGGAATGAAGAGATCAGAAGATGTGGGGTGGTAGACATTACAGAAAAGGTGAGGGAAGCAAGGCTAAGATGGTATGGACATGTAATAAGAAGAGATGAAGGAGAGCTGGTCAGATACATTATGGAATGAAGAGATCAGAAGAAGATGTGGTGTGGTAGACATTGCAGGGAAGGTGAAGGAAGCAAGGCTGAGATGGTATGGACATGTAATAAGAAGAGATGAAAAAGAGCTTGTCAGATACATTATGGAATGAAGAGATCAGAAGATGTGGGGTGGTAGACATTGCAGAGAAGGTGAGGGAAGCAAGACTGAGATGGTATGGACATGTAATAAGAAGAGATGAAGAAACATTGTATAATGTAGACCAAACAAACGGGAAGAGAAGACAGAGGAGATCGAAGAAGGGGTACACGAACGGTGTAAAAAGATTTAAGTACACAAAGTCACATTCCACACATGGGACAAGAATCGGAACACGGGTCAGCCTGGTACTAGAGCTGGTCAAAAGGAGAAAAGGATACAAATTACCTGTAGAAAAGCCAATAATTATCCGACCAAGAATAAGTAACTCAAAATACCCTGTTGGACGAGCTATGCCAAAGAATATCGCAGCAAGAACTGCGAATATATGACTGAATTGTAGGGCACCTCTTCTTCCAAATTTGTCAGCAAAATATCCAGCCGAAAATATGCCAACCATTCCCCCAGCAAGGTAGAATGACACCGTGAACGCCCACAGGAAGTTTAGAAGAGATTTTTGAATTGGTTCTTTGAAACGATAAATATATGTATCGTTGTAAAACGCTTGTATTGTCTAGAAAGAAAGCGAGAAATTGTTCAGTTGGTTGTCACAGTGCTTGGTTAGATGAATGTGCCTTTCAACTGCGACTATAATTTCATCTCAGAAGAGTGTTTACAATTTGACTCTGCCAAACACCACATGTTTCCTCCTGTAGTAACACTGGATCAATAAGGAATTGCCCTTACTGGACCTCTAGGAAGAACAGTTTAGAACTAATATAGAGAGTTATCCACTATGAATAAAGTTAGTTTAGTTTAGGTTTCCTCCTGTAGTAACACTGGATCAATAAGAGATGATCCTTACTGGACCTCTAGGAAGAACAGTTTAGAACTAATATAGAGAGTTATCCACTATGAATAAAGTTAGTTTAGTTTAGGTTTCCTCCTGTAGTACTGGATCAATAAGAGACGATCCTTACTGGACCTCTAGGACGAACAGTTTAGAACTGATAGAGCTATCTAGTATAAATAAAGTTAGTTTAGTTTAAGTTTCCTCCTGTAGTAAGACTGGATCAATAGGAGATGATCCCTACTGGACCTTTAGGAAGAACAGTTTACAACTGATAGATCTGTCCAATATATAAAATAATAGACAGACTTAGATCGAGGACGCGGATGTTAAATACGACGTAAAAATGGCGTGTTGTGCCCATGTATGGATATGCCACACCATTTTGACGACATTTTCACGTCGTCTTTGACGTCCGCGTCCTCGATCTAAATCTGCCTAATGTTAGTTTAATATTTCAAGGCCCGAGCATTACTCACAAACTCAGGTGCGTTAAGAACACCAGAACTGTAGCCATGGACGATCGAGGAGCCAAATACGCACAGAAAACAAGTGAAAATTAACATCCATGTAAGACCACCCTAAAAGAAATGTATTAGTGGGTTCGGAGCAGTAGATGATGGTCAACTACTACAGAAATATTTAACAATTATTCGCGGAAGGCGAGGTGATTATCGGTAAATAAAAACCGAGACAAAGTCGAGGTTTTTATTCACGATAATCACCGGGCCTGAGGTGAATAATTGTTTTAGTATAATTTCATAGGTGATTATTTGGAAAAAATAAAAAATACAAATTTCTTTGTCATTTAGTTGACAAAACGGCTTCGGCAGCCATTTCGAAAATCGCTTGGGTGATTATTGCGTTATAATCACCTCAACGGCAACCAATCAGCGTGGAGAATTTTCAATAATCTCTCAATATATTTTTGCCACCAAATACAAGACTATCTACTACATATAATGAAAATAATTAACGTTAGCTTCTCACTCTGATAACAGCAGGTTGACTAGCCTGCGTCATAGGCACTCATGACACAATTACACTACAGACTATGTCGTAGTCTACAGGATACTTGTCTAGAGGATACTTGTTTGTGAAACGCACCTGTTGGCATAACAAATGTACGCCATGTGTACCTATTTTTTCGCCTTATTTATTTTTTTATATCAACATAATGACGTCACTCAGTTGATGTCAAAACTCCACATTTGGACAGCTATTGAGATGATATGACAGTCAGAATCCATGAATGCTTTAAAATAAAACTACCTGATAACAAGTACCAGTGATAACATATACGCACGCAGAAGCACGTACTGTCGCGACCATATATATTGGTCGTGACGTCATGGCCTGCAGTCGTGACCTTGAGGAACATCAATCGGATGTCACATGCAATGTCAAAAATTATACTAGTCTACTAGACAGCCACTCAAAGATTTAGCCTTAAGGTTGCCATTGTCAGATTTAGTGTCGATATATCTCTACAATCAGTAAAGACTGATTTGCATACAGCACGCAAATGACAATTACTTAGATCCACTACCATTTCACAGCCACGAATAAACGACAGGCTTTATAATTTCTACGTTGAAACTTGAAACTAATATCGCAGCCGGTAAGCTGAGTATTTAAATTAATATTGATGAATTCACTAACTTGCAAAAACTAGCGAGTTGTTTTACTATACCAAACGCAAATTATTACAAACTCCAAAACTAGCCCTTAAATTTGGCTTTGTCCTTTTTCAAAATACTATACATTTCATATTTCAAAAAAATTATTACTTATATATGAAATTAATACACTAAGGTAAGTAAAGAAATCATGTGAATTTATAATTATAAACATATACTGATATACTGAGTAAACCAGTCTACCCACTGTCAATCACAATTCAATCAAAGTCTTACTCCTTTTTTGCCTTCTTCATCGAGTGTGAGTCTGGAGTGCTCCAAACCATCTTGATAGCTTCGTTTCAACATTTTTAAACGCTGACTCGCAGTTTTAATCTTTTCTTATATATGCCAAAACTACATTCAATCTGCAAACCGATACTTCTTCTTTTTTTTACCTATTGGCCAGTGTTTATCCAATAGGGGAACCCATGCTGATCGTGCGATATTTGAGACGGTCATAGTCATTGAACATAGGTCACAGCATGTCTATATGGATGAAAATTTATGACTCCTTATATTTTTCGCGAGTTTATATGAAAATATTCACTAGAGGAAAAACTTGTAATGAATATGAATTACAAAGATTAAATGAAAACTTGTTTTCTAAGTAAAATTTTACATTCATGACAGGTTTGGTTACGTAAAATTGGTATTTTTAAAGTCTTGTAGACATAAGGCTTTCTCATTTGAAGCCATAAATTTGGATTGGTCGACGTTTAATTACCTTGTTGCGTAATCACACAGACGATGAAAGTTTTTAATTAGTAAGCACTTCCGCGAGTGAGAAAGCCGATATAAATAAAACAGCATTGGGGTTTCTGACAAACTTTAATTCAAAATTCGCCGTGGTAAAGTTCGTTCACGCCATTGTAGCTACAAACAATATATGGTGCAAATTTTGATGCGTATCAATTCCCAAGCACACATACTGTACATTTTCGAGCAACCATGTTGAAAAAGAACCACGTGTCACATACATGCCCTACACACACACTTTAAATCCTGTTTACAGTTTTCTGACACGAGGCATGGGTTGTATAATCACAATTACTTATGGATCAGGAGAAAGTCATGAGATGTTATTTCGTGTGCTCCCATACATCGCGTGCTAAATTCTACTGATTTGCATATTTCGCACATCACGCGTGAAGCAGAATGGAGCACGGTATATCATGTCATTGCCGTTTCGTGTGAAGAGCCCTTGGACACAAAGTAGATACATATACAGAGTTATAAATAGTGCACCCACTTTTTTTGTGCGGGTGCTCTGCAAGTTACTAAATGCATGCATCCACTGGATGGCGGCTCGCTTTAACTGCTCGCCGAGCACGCGCAGTTGATCATTTTTTGTCCGGTCGCCTGAAAAAAAGTGGGTACATGAAAACGTAAGTTTCCCCAGTGTTTACGACGGCCAGTTACAGTTCTGTATGTATCTACTCTGTGCCTTGAAGAACCGTGGCGACATCGGTATACAAAACACGGGCGGTGAAACGCGCCAATAAATGACCGTGCTACGTGTGATGCACATTAGGATTGGCGCGAGCGCGCTTTCTCTAAAAAAAATCAGAAAATCGCGTACAAGATGTAGTAAAGTAAAACTGAACGGGGCTTTTTTGGGCTTTTTTCATAAAACGGAGATATCTTGCAGCCTTTATAGTTTTCCGTATACTCCACACGACAATGTAGATTCGCGACTACTATACTTATTTATGCAGATAATACGATATAAAAACAACACAAATTTTCAATTATCCTTTGAACGAAATCACTTCCTGCCTCAAATACATACTATAAACGTTTAGTGAAGTATCTAGTATCAGCTTGTATAGTTAAAATTGGTATGTATTTCACATGCAAAATGAACGAAGCGATTGTTGAGGAAAAGACATGCATTTTGAACAACATTTTTTCTTTTTTGTCAAAGCGCGGACGTATTTAAAAAATAGTGTTTCCTTCTTCTCGTTGAGATAGGTCGAGATAAATTTGAACGCACCAAACTATAGACATTTAACTTGGCTTTATGTCTCAAGTAAAATTGAACGGGGCTTTTTTGTGATTTTTTCATAAAAAGGAGATATCTTGCAGCCTTTATAGTTTTCCGTAACACTGTCACTGTAATCGATGGCAGTTATACCCTTCCATTTCCGTAACACTGTCACTGAGTGTCGATGGCAGTTATACCCTAGAGTGCATTCCATGCACGTTTTGTGGAAGATCTTCGGCGTGAGTTTTGAATTGCTGGCGCACAGTCACGTCGAGGTTGGCCAGTGGCGGCGCCAGGCTTCCAAATTTGGGGGGGGCATTTGAGGGGCAAACTCAAATTTTGGGGGGCAAGATAGAATTTTTAAAAAGGTCGCCCCCCCCAGGAAATTCGCCCCCCCCTCAAAACGTGGCGATATTCCTAGGAATATCGCCCCCGGGGGCGAATATCCTAGGAATATCGCCTCCCAGGGGGGTGGGGCGAATACCCTAGGAATATCGCCCCTCTTTAGGACATTCGCCCCCCATATATGCGATGTGGTTTATTCAAATATTTTCGTGATACTTTCATCTTATTATTGCCTTACACGTTTGAGAATTTAACTGTGCAAAACTAAAGCTTTTTTGTCTTTTTTTGAAACGTATTATTGGAGTATTGGCAAGTTTTACCATTCAGAGATTTACAAACTAATATTGAAACTGTAAAAAACAGTTTCATGTATACGCGCATTCACTAATGAGTAATGACAACTTATAAGCCATACATTTTCCGATAACGACAGAACGTTGTGTAGCCTTTAGTCGCTCTTAGTGACTAATAATTTTTTTTGAGGGGGGGCAAAATGGGGGGGGGGGCAAAAAATAATTTTGGGGGGGGCATTTGCCCCCCCTTGCCCCCTCCTGGCGCCGCCACTGACTCTAAGTCAACATGATCTATCATTGAGGCAACCTCGCAAGCAAGGGGTCATTGAGGCCCTATTATAGCCTGCGAACAGGCTCTCAAGCTGAATTGAGAGCCTGCATCGATGACTAATAAATTTGAATATCTGCGTCTCAAATCAGTTCTCATCGGTCAGATGCTATAATTTATATGTTTCCGCTGAGCTCTATATATGTCAACTGCTGAAGCACTAATCACTATGCATAAAAAACACATTAACTGATCAAATTGGCCTTGGCCATCTTATCTCAAAGCACGAAATGAGAAAACAGTATTTTGAGAAAACAGTATTTAAAACAATTGAACTTTTGCTTGAATTTCGAAAAACAGTATAAACTGTACGGTCTAAATTTAGTTTGCACGGTCTAAATTTAGTTTGCACGAAAGTTGTAAGCAACACCATATAAGGATAGACATTCCATATTTGGAAAAACGAACGTTACGGGGCAGATTTTCAAATTCATTAGTCATCGATGCAGGCTCTCAA